TCTTAGATATGATCATATGAATCCCATTTTCAATAAAAGATTGATTTCACGACTTCCCACTAGCAGACCTCAATCGTACTATTAAATCAATAGTGGTGGTCTCCCTGATGATATCTCCTTAGTTTGAGCAGTGATTCACCATGACAGTGACCGATTGAGAACTGAGATTGAATCGCGACGGAACATAATGTGATTCAGGAAGAAAGGATAGGGCACGCTAGAAAAGAACCAGAGATTAGGATGAACCTTGGTGCTTGCAGCGTGGTCTACACCGCTGACCGCTCCTCAGCATGCGCGCTACCACCGCCGCTCGGCCCACGCGATGCCGTCGCCGCTCTCCGGCCCTTGCGATGTCGCCGCAGCAGCTAGCGCATTTTGCCTACGATGCTCCTAACTCGATGACGATGGCGACGGAGCCCCGCAGCGTGATGATGTCCTTGGACGCCGTCCGCGACATCACTTTGGTCTCCACTTCTCCTCGCTCGGACGGATGGGATCGCAACCACATAATCGTAGGCGATTTTTGTTTCCTTCTTCATTCGCCGGGATAGTCGCCGTCGTGGGGTCCACTTCATGCTCCCTCGCGCAAGCTAGGGAAGCCGGGCTGGCGAGCGAGCGAGGGAGAAAAGAGAATTGCCGGTGATTGTGTGGGGCGCCGGTGTTTCCTTTATTCTCACGGTGATTACCTCCAACTTCCATCTATTCTAACACGCGATTTTTGTTTCCTTCTTCATTCGCCTTGATTTAGTGTTTGCCTTCCATGCACGGGTGGGATTTTTTTCTGCGTGATTAATTTTCTGCCTGCGGGGAGTGAATTTTGTCGCAAGGGATGGGCGTAGGAGCGAGGGGCGCGGGATCGCAGCAGGCAGGACGATTGACCCACGTTAGAATGTCGCACCAAAACGGTGTCCACTCTTTAGTCTTTTTAGTTATGAGATCTGTATTTATCCTCTCCTTCAAAATAGTATGGAGTAGCCTTTTGTTTTGAATAATACTGAAAAAGACCTTGGTGGTCCTGCACTTCATTGCTTGGAGCTTTCCATTTGTGCCATCCTTTTATCTGATTGAGCATAATTACCTATTAGAAATATTTGATCAGGTGGGGGGTTCAGGTTTGGTCTTTTGACCTCTCCTTTGTAGCCCCTTTTTTCTTCTTAATGAAATGACACGCAGCTCTCCTGCGTTGTTCGAGAAAAATAAGAAATATTAGATCATAGGGCGGCAATACTTTTGTGTGTGTTAGCCATAAGAGAAAATATGTTTATACTTGTATTAGTTCGGTCATAAGGTTAGATAAGACTAATTTATTTCACATACATCTGGATATTAGCACTGTGTGTACGTCAACATAACTCATCATGAGAGACTTGTGAAATCTGAAACAGAATATCAGCATGCAAGCTTATTCCGAACAGTAGAATCTTTAGATCATGTGGCCACTGCCATTTTGTGTGTGTATGTGTTGGGGCGGGGGGTCATTTAGTTTGCAGCTTTGTGAACCAATGTAATTTGGATCTGGAATATGGATTGAACTTTGTATGTTTTACAGGTGATTGAGCATGTCGCTAATCCTTTGGAGTTCTGTGAATCCCTCTCGGCTTTGACAGTTCCTAATGGCGCCACTGTGGTTTCCACAATCAACCGGTCAATGAGAGCATATGCCACTGCAATAGTTGCTGCTGAGTATATCCTCAGATGGGTTAGTACCTAGCCTTCTTTCATGTTTTGGCTTCATTTTGAGATCAATAAATTTAGTTGGGTAGTCCATTGTGTTGGAGAAATATGCTTGCTTAGTGACGTTTTTGACTCGAGTGGAACCTGTAGTCTGGACTCTGGCAGTTAATGCTTCTTATGAACTTGAGCTATAACAAATCAGTTTTTCAAATCTATTAAATATTCAGTATGTTGTAAAGGAAACATGGCAGTTCTATACTTCTATTCTTTCTAACATAAGATGTCACGGACTGCACATATAGAGAGTGCCCCTTGTTTTGTGTAGCTACCTGTTTCTGTAGGTTCGGTTGTCAGAGTCTGTTTTTAGACCCATAAACCAGTGGTTTACGCCCTTCAAAGTTGGTCTGGTTTGAGGACTGTTTCAAATCTGAAACTCTTTATTATGATCTAATGAAGAGAACTTGTGAACTAATGCAGTCATCATTCTAAAATCAAGGCCATGTCAGTTCAGGCTTCTTGAATTTCTGTTTTTTTGTTGCCCAGGTTAGAATCCAGTAATGGTCCTAGACGGTTAAGATCTCCACTTCTCCAGAGAAACATTCAGTGCTATGATGTTCTACAGTTATACTGGCATAGTTTTTCTTGAGGTGGATTACTAATGCAGCTTAAGATTGATATCTCATTCTGAGCTTTTGTACTTGTGCAGCTTCCTAGAGGCACACATGAGTGGTCCAAACTGGTTACCCCTGAGGAGCTTGTCCTAATGCTGCAAAAGGCTTCTGTCTCCGTAAGTTTTCAATCACTGTAACAACAACAACAACAACAACAAGGCCTTTTAGTCCCAAGCAAGTTTTCAATAACTGTATCACACTGAATTTGATTGTAAGTTGTGTGGCTGATATCTTGACATCTACCCCCAGGTCGAAGAGATGGCAGGGTTCGTTTACAATCCGTTGAGTGGAGAATGGTCCCTATCAGATGATATCAGTGTGAACTACATTGCTTTTGGCGTCAAGAAGAGCGAAGCATCATCGACAAATGGCAGAGAAGCAAGTTTATCATAGTTAAAGAAAAAGAACTGACCTTGAATTATTGGTGCATCATTTTCAGAGGACCAAATCATGTCACTGAAATCTTAATGCTAATAAGGATGCAACCAAGTAGCAAAAGAAAATTCCCTTGCCCTTTCTTGTTAGCCTCGGAATCTGGGGCTTGTGGAGCGATACTGCGTCGAAGCGCCATTGAGAAGTCAGGTTGACACACGACTACTAACAAGTAGAGCTAGCTCTTTTTTTTTTTTGGGGGGGGAGGGAGGGGCGGGGGCGGGGGGGGGGCAGGGGTGTTTAATGTATCACAAGGATGATTCAGACAGTTTTTCTCAGTTTTGTGTCAATCACTGATGTTCTAAATAAAATATACCACTACACTACTGTACGTGAAAACGGAACACGTTTCTTGTCTGGAAATGTAACTATTTTAATACGAAAGGCGGCTGACTCTTTTGTTAAATGTTACTCCCTCTGTAAAAAAAAAATCTCGTTTACTGAAAAAAATAGCAGTTGTTAGCATTTTTAATTGAGTGCAAGCCTCTTTTAATCAGAATGGTAATCTTAGGTCTCGTTTAAATTCAGGGTGTAAAGTTTTTGGGTGTCATATAAAGGTGTCGTATAGGGTGTTCGGATACTAATAAAAAATAAATTACAGAATCCGTCAGTAATCCAAGAGACGAATTTATTAAGCCTAATTAATCCGTCATTAGCACATGTGTGTCTGTAGCACTATATTGTTAAATCATGGATAAATTAGGCTTAAAAAATTCGTTTTGTAAATTAGTCGCAAACTGTGTAATTAATTATTTTTTAATCTATATTTAATACGCTATGCATGTGTCCAAACATTTAATGGGATATGAAGTAAACTTTAGAGGAATGAACTAAACAAGGCCTTATTAGGTTTGTGTCTTCAGTGTAATATTAATTGTTTTATAAGTAAATGCAAAGATAGTTGTTTCATACTCCCTCTATCCCCAAATAAACCAATTCCTAGAATTCAGTCTAATATTAATTGTTTTATAAGTAAATGCAAAGATAGTTGTTGCATACTATATTCTTCAAGACCATGACGAGGTGACATTGTTGGCTCAGTGGTTCTCCCTGTCCACACTCCACAGATTGAAGAAACCAGTGTTTTTTTTTATTTCCTTTAATTAACGAACCGATACCGCAGTGCTTTTCAACAATTATGCCTCTTTTAAGTGTCCTCAAGCTGCATTTTGATTGATAAACAATAAATTTACCATAACAGGCAGAGAACTGCTCGTGGCTGATCTTAGTGACCATATCTTGCCTTTAATCTTATTTATTATTGTCTCCGTCAACAGAAAGGCCTTGGTGATATTCTGATTAACGGCTCACTGGAAAGCAAAATTATAAAACGCTGCATCTGACAAAACAAAATACTACGTACAAGGATTTAAGATAATGACTTTGGTCCAGTTTGCTTATCTCCTCTTGCTGTCGGCGACAATTTATGCTCGCAACAGCAATCCCACGTCCAAACCGCTCCGGTCCTTCTAGGACTCCTACCAACACGTACGTACGCAGGCAGCCGCGTCCAGGCGGCCAGCCCACGCGGCCACTCGGCTGCCTACGCGACCGACACCAAACTCCCTGCATGCAGGGTCTCTTAGCTGCGACGTGTCGAACTCCGAAATCTAACACGTTGCAGCACGTATCGTCTGCATCTGACAAAACAAAATACTACGTACAAGGATTTAAGATAATCAGTCTGTTCGCTATATAGTTTCAGCCAGAATTTATCAGTCAACAATAATATTTTTCTTTCATAACAAACTAGCCCAATCAACCAACACGCGAATGACTTTGGTCCAGTTTGCTTATCTCCTCTCGCTGTCGGCGACAATTTATGCTCGCAACAGCAATCCCACATCCAAACCGCTCCGGTCCTTCTAGTACTCCCATACGTACGCAGGCAGCCGCCCAGGCGGCCAGCCCACGCGTCCACTCGGCTGCCTACGCGACCGACACCAAACTCCCTGCATGCAGGGCCACGTAGCTGCGACGTGTCGAACTCCGAAATCTAACACGTTGCACGCACGTATCGTCTATAAATAAACACATCTGGCCTCCTCCGTTTCATCCATCTTGAGCAGAGTAACACAAGTAAGCTCAGCAAAGCTAGCCCAAAGTTTAGAAGAAGCGATCGAGGAGAGAACGAGCTAGAGAGAGGAGAAAGTATGGCGCACTACCAGCAGGAGGGGAGGCGGCAGCAAGTCGACGAGTACGGCAACCTTGTACCTGTGAGCCATGGTGGTATTCAGGGCCAGCAGCAGGGTCAAGCCGGCGGGTACGGCGTCGCGGGCACCGGCAGCTACGACGCCGGGGGCTACGGTGGCGGCCAGCAGGCCGGGTACGACCCCACTGGCACCGGCACGCATGACGCCTGGGGGCTATGGCGGCTCTGGTTATCCAGGTTACGGGGCTACCGGAACAGGCGTCCATGACGCCGGTGGCCCAGGAGGGTATGGAGCCACAGGTACCAGAGCTCACGGTACGCATGGCGGCGTGGCCGGATTCCAGGACGGCGGCGCCGTCGGGCACACTGGTGGTATGAATGGTGCAACAGGCATGGGGACCCATGGTACTGGTACCGGTCATGGTGCCACCGGAATGCATGACACCGGGGTTTTAGGCGGTGGAGGGCACACCGGCACCGGCATGATGCCCAGCCGTGGCACGGGTCACGGGGCCACAGGCATAACTGGAACCGGCGGCGCGTTCCCCCATGGAGCTGAGCACAAGACGGGCGGCATCCTACGCCGCTCCGGCAGCTCCAGCTCCAGCTCGGTGCGTTTAATTTCTTGCTTCATTATTGCTATATATTTTCACGCTCTTGCACTCCCACTATTTATTTTGTGTTCTCTCGATCGAGCTTTTTGACTAAACACGCAAGAATCTTCTCGTGCAGTCATCATCTGAAGATGATGGCATGGGTGGGCGCCGGAAGAAGGGTCTAAAGGAGAAGATCAAGGAGAAAATGCCCGGCGGCCACAGGGACAACCAGGGCCAGGCGACGGCCACCGGAGCATACGGCGGCACAGGATACACTGGGGCTGGGCCGACAACCGGTACAGGAACCAACGGCGGCGGGACGTACGTGCCGACGACGACCGGAGGCACCCACGAGAAGGAGGGCGTGATGGAGAAGATCAAGGAGAAAATCCCGGGTGGCCACAAGGACTACGACCAGCACCAGCACACCACCGCGGGAACCGGCGGCGGCTATGGCGGAACCACCGACACGTACGGGACGACGACGACTGAGGGGACGCATGAGAAGAAGGGCTTCATGGAGAAAATCAAGGAGAAGCTCCCCGGTCAGCACTAAATATAAGCAGCTCGTCCGGCTGGCGCCCTGTCAAGTTTGTGGACTGCCAATAATAAGTATATATTATATACAGAATAAAGTAGTGAAGAATAAGCGGCAGCTACGTGTTTGGTATATGTGTGTTTGCATTGTAACCACCTTAATAATCCTGTGTTCATGTGACAAAGTAGTAGAAATATCGTTCCATGACAAGATGGAATAACATAAGTTACACAGTTATGCTTTCAAGTCAATGTTACTATCGTGGTCAATCTTACTATCATGGTTATGACACCTCCTTAACATCTACTCTGTCCTAAGGATATAAAATCATTTTAGACTATCTCCAACAACATCACCCAAAATACAAAAGGGTAGCGCTATAGATAAATGGTTTATCTATTTTTGTCTTCTCCAGCAATAGAACCTAAAAGAGAACCATTTTTGCAAATGAGTCTTCAGGAGAGAGGATACTTATATTTGAGTTGTGCCTCAACCTAAAATGGGTCTCGTATATACACTACAGTAGACGCGTGCTTTGCCAAGTGCATTTGCACTCGGCAAAGAATACTTTGCACTCGGCAAAGCCCGGCAAAGAGCTGTCGGCATATCCCTTCACGGCAAAGGCTTCTTTGTCGAGTGCCACATATCGGGCACTCGTCAAAGGATTTCCCGAGTGCCACGACGGCACTCGGCAAAGAAAAGCCACCGTGATGGCCATGTCACGGTGATGGCCCCTTTGCCGAGTGCCACATCGGCACTCGACAAAGAAATGTGTTTTTTTATTTTTTTTAAAAAATGCTTTGCCGAGTGCCTGCATCTGGCACTCGGCAAAGCCTGTTTTCTTTCTTTTTGGATTTTCTTTTCCGAGTGCTGTAGGTAGGCATTTGGCAAATCAGTTTTTTTTGAATTTTCTTTGCCGAGTGCCTTGACCATGGCACTCGGCAAAGCTGGGAAGCTTAGTGTCCCAGATTCCCAGCTTTACCGAGTGTCATGATCATGACGCTCGGCAAAGAAGTGAAAAAATTCAAATTTTTTTGGTTTTTAGTCTTCCATCGTTGCAAACAAGATATACATCATATATATATATATATAACACAACTATATATCACACAAATATATATATATATAATACAAATGTATATCACAATCCACCACAAACACAAACATAGCATACAAGTATCACAATCTCGACTCCCAAGTCCAAAATCCAAACAAACAAGCATAGTTCACAAAGTTCACAAGTGCATTATATCACAACGGCTGCCATTTGAAGCTCACGGCGATGGTCCGGGTTGGGATGGCCCAACGTGTGATCCCGGCGACCCTCCGAGGTGCTTGACGACGCGCACCGATTGATCTTTGCACAAAATAGAAGAGATTGCACGTGAGCGACAAGAAGAGATAAATATGCAAGATAAATATCCGCCACTACCACCACCACCACCACATCACCGCCATCACCAACACTTCACCACCAACACTTCACCACCACCACCACCACCACACCACCATCACCACCACATCACCACCACCACCACCACCACCACCACCACCACCACCACCATGAGCACCACAACACGTGACCACCACCACCAACACCACACCACCACCACCACCACCACCACCATGACCACCACACCACCACCACCACCACCACCACTAGGTTTCTCTAGGTTTTACTAGGTTTCTCTAAGTTTCAGCATAGAAAGTAAAACTTCGTACTTATACTCACCGGGGTAGAATCAGGACGTTGTGGAGGTGGATCTGGAGCAAGCAGCGTCTGTGGGATCGTCTAACCTTGTTGCTGGCCAATTTGCTGCATGAACTTGATCATCTCGGCCATCCGCCGCTGATCTTGCTCCCGCTGGGCCTCCAAAGCCTGTAGCCTCTGCCGCTCGGCCTCCCGCTCGGCCTGCAGTTCCTACACCTGGGCCTGCAGCATTTGACCCCAATGTTTCAATAATGCATAGGTAAGGTATGTAAAAGTCAAAGAATGATGAATGAAACAGGAATGCTTACCTGGAGTGCCGACACCGTGGTCGGCCGTTGGCGTATGGGCACGATTGAGCTCGTGCTCGCTGCTCGAAGCTGGTGGAGAGGAGGAGTAGAGGCCGTGTCGAGGACGCCGTCGCCAATCCAGAACAACCCATGCTTCTTTCCTTGCCCCACCCTCATCACGAGTTGAGGATCAAGGCGCTCCTCGGTTCTCGGATCGTAGCCCGGCCCATGGACTGACCTTGCCACCTCCATGTACGAAGAGAGGTGGGTGTGGACGCTGGAGTTGGTGTATGCCTCAAGCAGGGCATCTGGGTCATACTCGATGTCGGCCATCGCCTTGCCCATGTGAGCCAGAGCATATGCCTTGAGTTGACCAACTGACTGGCCACCGTGTGCATCCGACTACAAGAAAGACAACAACATGTGGTTAGAAATGATGCTGAATTGAGCGCGGCTAGATTAGAGCAATGGCGGAGACTTACATATGCCTTTGCATATTTGCTAAGGCTACGGCTGCCCTGATGGTGAGGTACACCTAGCATCTGCAAACGCCTATCGCGGGCCTCCTCGTGCTTCTTCTGCCAGTCCCCGTCCAACTAGGTGTCCACAATATATTCCTAGCAATCGGGGTGGAAGGGAGAGTGTGTATTCGGAGAACAATAGGGAGGTGGTGCCAAAACTCTGTCTCGGATCAAAGCAGAACATGGAAACTACCCCATCTACGCATCCACGGGCTGTCCAAAAAAGTGGACAATCTAAAACAGAGATAGTCTTAGATATGCGAAGATCCACATACCTCCAACCGTATATGTTTTGAACGGGAGACGCCTAACTGGGTTACACTGATCTACGACAATGATAAGGAAGAGAGGTTATTTATACCTAGGGTGGCGGTGGAGTCAGGCTAGCGGGGCAGTGGCGAGGCGACGCTGTGCAGGTAGGACCGCAGCGCCGATGAAGACGATTGGGGTCACCTACGTACTCCGGGTCCCCTTCGACGGGTCGTGCTTTGCAAAAGAAGAATTATAATACTATAAGTTAAAAATTTCGATAGAACCTCCCCTGTACGGGGAGGTTTCCAAAATCTGCAAGAAAAAAGCCGGCACGATGGCTGACAGCATATATACGACACGAAGGCCCACACATCCACGTACGGCATGAAGGCCCATACATCCACATACGACACGGAGGCCATCAATGACATACAAGGTATGAAGGCCGACAACCTAGGGGCTTTATACCTTGGGTGGCGGTGGAGTCGGGCGACGCGGTGCCGGGGTCACCTTCGTCTCCAGCGAGGGGCGGGGACGACGGCGGGGACGAACGGCGAGGGGCGTGGCCAGCGGCCGAGGCTCCTCCTCCTCCCTTCTCCTTCTCCTCCCTTCTCCTTCTTCCTTCTCCCCTCCTCCTCTCTCTTCTCCACCTCCCTTCTCTCCCTCCTCCCTGCCCTCTCTCCTCTCCCGACGGTTCAGTATGGGGCGGTGGGGTGGGGCACCACCGGTGGGTCCGCATCCGGCGGCAGAGCGGGGCCGGGGCAGGGCCGGTTGCGGATGAGGTCGGGTAGCGGCGGGGCGGGGCCGGGGCGGAGCACCACCGGCCGGGGAGGGCAGACCCGAGCGCGGGCCGGCCACGGCGGAGGTCCGGCGCGCGGGTGGTCATGGCGGGGGGGCGGGCCGAGGCGCGTGTGCCTGAGAGAGGAGAGTGGGAGGGAGGCCGCCCTGGCTAGGGTTAAGTGGGTGACCCTTTTTGCCGAGTGCCGAGATGCGGCACACTCTGCAAAGAAATTCGTGAGGGTTTTTTTAATCCGAAAAGATGAAAAAAATTCTGAATATTCTTTGTCGAGTCCGCAAGCCTGCACTCGACAAAGAGTTCCTTTGAAAGTGTCAATTCGACACACTAAGCAAAGTATTTTTATTTTTTTACAAATTTTTTACGTGGCATTTATAAGACTTTGAAGCACATGTTCTAATTTAGAACTTTTCTATGACTTTTTGGTATAATTTTTAAATTTTTTATGTTTACTTGAATTTTTCTCGAAAAAGTAATTTTGAGTAAATTTGTGAGGTGCATGAAATATTGGAATTTAGCGATTCAAAAATGGTATTCATGTTTTTGAGTGTATTTTTGAGGCCTGTCGAGGACATTCTCAAAATTTGAACATCTATTTCACGTAAACATGACCACCAACTTGTTAAAAAGTGTTTTTAATTATATAAAATGCAAACGAAGTTCGAAAATCACGAAACTTGTCGAGGTGTCGTGTCATCGCATGTAGAGGCTGTGGTAAAAAATTTAGAAGTTTCCGAGCAAGTTGTGACGTACGATGCCTAAAACCCAGACACCTCGACAAGTTTCGTGATTTTCGGACTTCATTTGCATTTTATATAATTAAAAAACACTCTTTTGACAAGTTGGTGGTCATGTTTCGTGAAATAGATGTTCGAAATTTCACGAATGTCCCTGCACACGGCCTCAAAATACACTAAAAAACATGAAATACCATTTTTTGAATCGCTAAATTCCAATATTTCATGCACCTGCAGTTCAAATTTATTTTTTCGAGAAAAATTCAAGTACACATAAAAAATTTTAAAAATATACCAAAAAATCATAGAAAAGTTTCAAATTGAAACATGTGCTTCAAGGTACTGTATAAATGCCACAGAAAAAATTTAAAAGCAAAAATAAAAAAAATACTTTGCCGAGTGTCGGAATTGGCACTCGGCAAAGGAACCTCTTTGTCGAGTGCCAGGCTAGACACTCGGCAAAGACAACACGTTTGCCGAGTGCTAACGGCCAGCACTCGGTAAAGGATGACGGAGGGGCCACCGGCGTCGCCTGAGGTATTTTGCCGAGGGTTATTTTGTTGAAAGTGTTTTTCAAAAAACGTTGCCGAAAGTGTCCTCTTTGTCGAAAGTGCCGGCTTTACGAGAAGCGGCACTCGGCAAACTGCCTCTTTGCCGAGTGCCCGTGTTTCGACACTTGGTAAAGCGCCGAGCACTCGGCAAAGAGCGTGTCTCCCGTAGTGATAGGTATTCTGTTGGTTGATACAGTACTATCCACGACATATTGAAAGGACCTAGGATGCTGCCTAGAGGGGGGGTTGAATAGGCGTTTCTAAAAATTAACACATTTAAATGCGGAAACGATTAGTAAAGGGAGTTTTCAAAATATAAACTCCAAATTAAGAGTAATACCACCCCTCACAAGTTAGCCACATAGTATATAAAAGATACTAAATAAATCTAGGAGCCACAACTCTGCAACACAACGATTAGTGCACGGATCAAATAAATTCAGCACTGAGCTCTAATACCGGACGTGTCCGTGTCCGGTATACACGGTTTCTGCAGAGCAGCCCTAAACTTACTCCTTTCGATTTCTAACTTCAAACCAAACTACAGGTACCTAATAGAGATGACAAGATACACAGAGAACCTGCACAAGAGCTAGAGCAACACAAATATCAAATGAAATGCGAATTGAGACACGATACCAAGTTTAGACTGCGTTTTGAGTCCTACTTGTGAGAGAAAACCAGTGAAGGTTATAGGGTACCACGAAGGTCACTCTAGCCGGAGTCTTTTCCAATTCCTTTTTCTCCTTCCACTTGTTGATTCCGAGGCAGCGGAATCGACCGTTATAAACTTTTCGAGGCACACCACAATCTCTCGAGTCCTCTCCGGCGACGCCTAGCTGTCTAGGACCGAAGAGTCCAAGAGTAACAAATGCAAATTACGAGATTGACAATATGCACAAGTGCTCAAGTGGTGGCTTGCTCTCTTTTTCAAATTCTCTCTTAACCCACAAATGAATTTGGCAATTGGATGAATCACTCACTAAGAGAGGGTTTGGGAGAGTTGGCAAAGCTCAAAAATGTGCTAGAGGATCAGCAGAATCAGTAACCTCCAAAGGTGGAGGCTTGGGGGTATTTATAGCCCCTTGAAAAAACTAGCCGTTTTATAGCCGTTGCCATACCGGACACGTCTGGTACGGTATGACTTACACTGCACCAACGGTAACTGAGTTACAGTGACGTTGTGAGACGTCGGAACTCTCGATGAATGTTGGAACTTCCGACCGTCGGAACTCCCGACCCTTAGCACATTTGAAAACTACGGTAACTGAGTTAAAGTGTATGAGGTGTCGGAACTCCCGACGTATGCCGGAACTCCCGACTGCCGAAACTCCAGACTCATGTCGGAACTCCCGACCCTAAGGCATTTGAAAACTAGCCGTTGGCTTATGACCATTTCGGTATGAATACCGGACACGTCCGGTATGACCAGGATAGTGAACTCTCCAAGTCAGTTTAAGCGCGAGACGTCAGAACTCCCGACCATTGCCGAAACTCCCGACCGTTGGAATTTTCGACTCACGTCGGAACTCCCGACGAACCAACCTGAGAACAACAACTTTAATATTGCTGGGCAAATACCGGACACGTCCGGTTTCAATATTGGACACGCCCGGTATTACTAGACCAGCAAAAAATAGGTTAGCTCTTTTGTCTCTCAATCACTCAAAACTCACATGGGCTGGCTTGAGCACCTATGAAACATTATCTATCAACATGATGTATCCCTCTTAATAGTACGACATTCCTATTAACTCAAATTCAAATGTATAACGAATTTAAACCTTTTGAGTTGACCTCTTTCAACCGAAGCCGTGTATTTCAATCTTCATCAAGTGAGGGTGCCAACATGTCAACTTTGATCTTTTTCATTTGAGCATAGCCATCTTGAGCACGTGACTTGATTCCATTCATCAAATATGAATAACTCCAAATGCATCAAGTCACTTTCAACACTTTGTCCAATATAGATTTGATCATCCACATCAATATGACCATCATACCTTGATTAGTACCTCAACTAAATGCAAGTACTTTCTTCTTCACCCTAACTATGTTCTTCGGCCGCCAAACCGTCGCTTGTCCTTCACCCTTCCTAGTACCTCGAAGCATTTTGTAAACCGTCGCGGGGTCCCTCATGGACTAGCTTCCCAACAAAATTTTGACCCAGCAGACAACATTGTAAACGACGCACTACTCATGGGTTGACCCAAAATAACTAAATGACCGGACAGAAGAGCGATCCAATCCGACCGAAAGGCCTGGCCGAGAAGGAACGACGCCCGCTTCCGACTCTGGTCCGCCTCTCCGACCGGAAGGCCTCGCTTCCAACTCGAACCGCCTCCGGATGGCCTCTCCGACCGGAAAGTCTGGCCAAAACACCACTTCCGACTCCGACCGGCTTCTCCAACGGGAATGCGTCGAACCCCTGCTTACAGCTCTTCTTCAACTGGCGCAATCAGAGCCGACTGGGACCAACTGACCGAGGACGTCCGCTTGGTAAGGACCAAAAATGGACGGAGAAAGTAAGGCTGGGCACTCAAGTCAACCGTAATACCAATGACCGTACACTATACACCTAAAGGACAGTACCCTACGACCTTCCTGGCATGACAGAACCAAGCCGTATTGTAGGCGCCGATAGTTTTTCCTACAGTATTGTGGGCGCCATCAACACCCATACCAGACAAACACGGTAAGGCTCCCCCCATATGCCTCTGGGCATCAACAATGTTATGGACGCCGGCATTTACCGTACCAGACAAACATGGTAAAAAACCCTACATGCCTCTGGGCATCAACAGTATGACAGGCACCGACGTCTGCCATATGCCGTAAAAAAGACAACACAACCTTCCACATGCATCTGACATTAAACAGTATTGTGAGCGCCTACCATTATCTGGTACCCTCCAGCGTGAGCAACAAGACTTAGTAGCATACATATTCTATCTCTCTCTTATAAAGCCATCCCCTTCATCTATAAAAAGGATGCGCCCTGTCCAAACAAAAGATCCCTCAGTTCACTTACATTGATTCACCCTCTGTAACTTAAGACACTCTAAAGTTATACAGAACACACGCTCCAACACTTAGCACATAGCGGAGCTCCCGTCACTCTCGGCCCTTCAGACCAGAGTTCGACCGGACCTCTTATACCCCCATCTTTCTCCCTTCCGTTTGTAACCCCACTGTAAACTTCGAGCACATGGGCTCAAGAATAAAGTCACCAATCGACTTAAACTGGACGTAGGGCATGTTGCCTGAACCAGTATAAACCCTGTGTCATTGAATGCTAGGCCATCTCCGATTACAACGTACAGTAAAACTATAAATATTTACGTGTTGATCACTTTCTGCACCGACACATTTTCTTGCTATCTTCAACATCTCAAGCCATCAAGTCACATCTTGTGTTGAATCATACATTCATTTGTATTGTTATCTTTTTCATTTCAATTTAGCAAGCTTCAAATATGAGACCATTACATATGCAATCCCTCATGTCTCATCAACTAATTTTTACCGGGCTTGCTTTCACATAGTACATGGAAATCCCACAATAAATAAGCCTTTGCATGAATTCCATTTGCATTGTTGTCATGTGCTTGAACTAGATTGTTTATACAACAACACATCATTTTGGCTTACATTAAGTGCCTATGAGATAACCTGTTACTTGTCCACACTTAACAAATGGGTTAGACCTTTAATCATGTTATCATTTAATCATCCAAAACCCACTAAAGGGCTAGATGCACTTTCACCTATTTTGGGTTTAGATCTCTATCAGCCTGTTCGGTTGACTGGTTCGTATCGTTGCTGGTTCGTTTATGTGAGAGAGAAGTACTGCTGACTGGTTCATGTAAATAGTATCCATATGAGAGAGCTGGCCAGCCAGTCCAGCCAGCCAGCCCCGGCCGATCAGGACGTATATGGATCATTCATTGGAGATCTCTACATAGATCATTCATCGGAGACCGTCTTGGAAGCATCAATTCTTTCTGTCCTAATAAAAAATAACTGCTCCTGTACTTTTTAAAAAATGGCACGAATCTCAAAGCAAATAATTAAAAAAAATTAATTATCTTATATTATTTTACGTCTGGGTCCCGCTGGGCCCAGCCCGTGCAAGACCAGCCTGACCCCAGCTCTTATCCAGATGGGAACTAACGTCTATGGAAGTCTACCGTCAGCCTGTTTGCTTGCTCGTAAACGATCGTAAATTTCCAGCTGGGAACAGTGTTTTTCTCTCACACCAAACCAGCCAGCAGTAAATAATCCACGATACAATTTGTTCGTGGTTTGCGTGCAGATTGACGCCGTCGTTTCACGGCGGCGCCCGCGACTTCTCCCCGATCCCGTTGTGGAAGAAGAGGGCTATGCTACCCGACGAGGCCGTTGTGGAAGAAGACGCCATGCTACCGGCCACCGCACCCCCATCGCCCCCTACCGCGCCTCCTTCCCCCTCCATCAGCGCCCCCACCGCACCACGCGCCACCGGCCGCGGCGGCGCAGGGCACACCGGCCGGGGGAGGCGGCCGTCCACGCCCCCATGGCCCCCACACGTCACCGGCCGGGGGAGGCCCCCGCCCGCGCCCCGTCTGCGCTCTCATGGCCGCCCGCCCCCCGCCGCGCCACCGGCCGCGGGCAGCGCCCCCCATCTTAGGTTGCCATGTCTGTGCTAGCTATGTGTTCTTGATTCAAGCGTTCTAGTTTGATTTCTTCTTTTCTTAGGTTAGCCACTGATCAAAGGGGCGTGATTGTGTTCTTGAGGCCAACTGTTGGCACGCACGAGTACCTGGCGCCCGAGATCGTGTCCGGGGACGGGCACGGCAGCGCGGTGGACTGGTGGACGCTGGGCATCTTCGTCTTCGAGCTCCTGTACTGGGCCACGCCGTTCCGGGGCCACTACGACGAGGCCACGCTCGCCAACATCGTGGCGCGCACGCTCGAGTTCCCCCGGGACCAGGACCCGCCACCGCCGTGTCAGTGTCGCCGGCCGCCAGGGACCTCGTCGCCGCGCTGCTCATCAAGGACCCCGCGCGTCGCCTCGGCCATCAAGCGGCACCCGTTCTTTGGCGGCGTCAACTGGGCGCTGCTCCGGTGCACTAAGCCCCCTACGTGCCGCCGTCGTTCAGCGTGCGTAACGGTAAGGCTGGCGGCGGCGGCAGTGGGAGCGTACTTGTCGGACGGCAGTTGTCCCTGTAATTCACTGTAATTGTCCCTGTAATTCACTGATGCTGCAAGTCCTCGACTACTTCAAATAGATGATTTCAGAAACTAACCTTGTATAGTTCTATTGCTGCCAATCTCTACATAACCAAATCTGCACCATACACGCTGGTCTCTTATTGGGCCACGTCATCTGAAAAACCTCAACCGCTAGATTTTGATCGGACAGACTAACTAGCGTTTCTAGAGCTTTCCTCTGGAGCGCGCTGAAACGCCGCCTCCCGGTCCTCGCCGCACCCCGCATTATCCCGGCGTCCACCCTCCATTTACCCCGCTGCGGGTGCCTTCCCGGCGCGGCCATGGCACGCCCGCGGTCAGGAGTGCGCGCCCAGGCACGCGCTCCCGGCATGTAGCCGGCGCGGCGCGGCCAGGCCCCATGGCACGAAGGCCACTGCAAAGGCGGCGGCATGGTGCACTTGCACCTGAACTCAAGTCCAACTCCTACACGTTCCCATTCAAAGCAGTGTGGCATTGTGTGTTTGTGACTGAAATGGTGGTGTTCACGAGGCGCCCGTTCGGCTTGCTGAAACTTGGCTGAAATTGGCTGAAAACACTGTTCTGCCTGAATTGTTGCAAAAAAAAATACTGTTCCGACTGAAAAAAGAAGCTGAACAAACCGGTTTAAAAGTAAGCCGAACGGGTTGTTGCGGAAGTTCCAGGGTAGGCGGACGATGTGCTTGTCAAATCATTCCTTGGCCTGGAAGGCAGAAACTCAAAATAAGATCACCCTCACCTGTTTATTGTTTTGTTAAGTGAATTCTCAGTACTGTCTTTTCATGTATTGGGCGGTTTTATGATAATAATGTTTGGCAGATTCTGATACATGGTACTAATATACTAACGTCACTAGGAATAGCAACTACTTTACCAAGCCCATTTTGACAGTATTTTTGCTCAAAACATAGACTTGTTATATGGTTGACAGAGCGGCTGGGGTATACTCTTGTTTCTTTTTTGACACATAAACTTAATCAACGTCAGCTGTCCAAAACACTTATAGATATACATAAACCCTAACATATATACATATATTATTTGACACCACATTGACAATGATACCTACTTGTTATACTGGCCAAATTCATTATGAGGGCTCTAAGGAGGGCGCGGCAAAGCCGCGCCTGCTTTTCTAGTAAATCTGAAATCAAATTTTCTTGTTCGTTGTGGCACTTTGTAATTTTTTTTATGGGGAGGAGATAACTACTGCTGCAGGTTTATATTTTTCTTGTCTGATTCTGATGGATCTTCGCACTTTGTAAAATCTTTCAGGCACATCTTTGCGCAGGTAGACTATTCTGATTATTCATTTTCTTTATAGTGGATTTTGTGAGGACAGGCATAAGCAGATCAGATGGGCTATCACTGACAGTAGCCTGAGCAACAGATTAGCTAGCCCCTGTAGTATGCAAACTGCAATTGCAGTCTCTTTCTTGACTTTTTTTATTGTTGACTGGCTCAGAACTGGTCAGTTCAGTAGCCTGAAACTGCAGTTATATTGGACACATACTGTACTTACAGTATAGTACATCCTACTAGTAATCAGGTTGCTGACTGAAAAGTGGCAAATGACAATCATCTACCTGCTTCAATTCCATTCCTGATTAAACAAAAACCGCTGTTCCACTTCCACAGTGGACTGGAAGAAAATCACAATTTGCAGTCAATTTTCGCCTATAAATGTTGATGTTACAGTTACAGCAGTGACATCAGGGCTAAGGAAGTTGTGCATGCTTTTCTGAATGAAAGCGTGCTTCGGAATTCTGCGTCGATAGGATTGATGCTGCTGCATTCACCGAGTTGCCGTCCAAAATTTGCACTGAATTTGTGTCGACTTCAGGGTAATCAATCACGTATGTTGATACGACACCACATATTATAACAAAAGTAAACGATACTCCTGCTCATAGTATACCAAGCTACTCCCTCCCTCCTCCCAAAAAGAAAACATGTCACCCGGACCCGGCCTAAGATTCAAAATCTGTCCCATATCTGCATGTATCTTTCCTGATTTGGAGACAGTGATGTACATGATCTGTTAATCACCTGCTACTACTACTACTACTCCTACTAGTACTAAAATCTGAATATACTTTGTCAAGTAAATGGTACCATGCATGAACGAGGATACCATGGCACTGTATCTTTTTCTCATGGCAGTACCAGCGAATTTTTTGTTTTTAGCCATTTTTTTTTAAAAGTTTTTCACAAATACGCCCCTAGAGGTATGCTTTCAAAATCGGGACCCTCACCTCGGCGCCGGAGTAATTGGCGTCGAGCCATGTCTCGGCGCCATAGTTTTTGGCGCCTAGGTCTTGGGGCCACGTCGGCATCAAAGCAGAGTTGGCGGTGACATGGCAGCCAGCTCGGCGCCGTGGATCTTGGCGCCGAGCCGGCCTTATAGGTGGATCCGTTTCCTTTCTCTCTTCCTTCCTTCCTTTTCCTCTCTTCCTTTCTTCTCTCCGACGCTTCCTTCCGCCGCTCCTCTCTCCTTCTCTCGACCACCGTTGTCGCTCTGCTCTCACCCCCCCGCCCGACCACCTGTTGTTGCGCTCCGCCGCCCCCGCCGCCCACCACCGCGTTGCTGCCCCCCCCAGTTGCAAGGCGCAGCATCTCATCCAGCCGCCCCTTGCGCACCGCCGGCCAATGCGCCGCAGGGCCGCCGCGCTCCCGCTACGACCGACCACGGCCACGCTGCCCGCCGCCGCCTGTGCAGGGGCCGGCCAGCGCCGCCGCTGCCTCTCCATCCTCCACGTCCGGCCGCACGCGTTGGCCATTCCCCGGCGCCCCGTCCCGTGGCCCTCCACCGCGCTCGACGCCTCCTCCTGCTCTCCACCGCGTCGTGCACTGGCATCGTTGGATAGGTAAATTTCGTGTATATGCAATGTAGTTAGTTAGTGAGGTTGAATTGTTGTGTAGTAGTTAGTTTATTGATGTACTTAGGATGGTAACGTGATAACTTGTTTAGTTTAATTAGTTGGTGATCTAGAGATTAGGTGATAACCTAGTTAGACTATTTACTTAGTTAGTTAGCTATCTATTTAGTTAGATATGATAACCTATTTAGTTTAATTAGTTGGTGATGTAGTGATAAGGGGATAACCTAGTTGTTGGACATGTATGGAGCTAGTTACTATGCTATTTGTGAAGCTAGCTGTTACCTAGTATGTAGTTGTTGGCACGTAATTTGGACTAAACGAAATGTGTTTGGATTTGTGTATGAAATAGATGGACAACCTAGTGAGCATATATCATGGAGGCACCATGGAAAGAGATCGCTATGGATATGTTGAGTTTGTTGATATGCAAAGCATGCCTATGTTATTCAATGAGAAGCCTTCATTTTGTGAGTTGGTTGCAAGGGCTCGGGAGGAGCTACATTGCCATGATGATGATTGCATCGCAGTTGAGGGTGTACTTCACCTTGGTTCCCTCCCAACATCCTAAGGAAGATGATCTCAATTGGGTGTGTGGATCAATGGGAGAACTATGTGAGATCGGCTATGAAGAGCCAGTTCTAAAGTTTGGACGTGGTTGTGCGTCGGGTGTTAGTTGATCCCGTCCCTCATGGGTTTTCCCCACCAATGGGTCAGCAGGCACACTATGACCCTCCCATCCCGAAACCTGATATGGATGTGGAGGTTGCACCTACGGTTTCCGATGCTCAATCTACCCCCAATGAGCTAGTTGGAGATGCTTGTAGACTCATGATGTTGTGGCAGATCCTTCTCATGAGATCCCTTTGACACAGAATCATCCGAGTAAGTGTCTTATCTGCATCGTTCTTTAGAGCTTACCCCCTTCCTTACATCCATTTTTTTCATTCTTTCCTCGTATTTCTGCTTATGTTGTAGGAGACATTCCCAACAATGTGGATGTGCCTCCTGTTGCTGCGGAAGTGCACCGTGGAGATGGATTATGTGCCTCCAATAGTATTGAAATTATGAATGATTTGGAGCCATATGAGATGGCAAGGGCTCTTGATTCTGATGATGATCATCCTATTGGAGAGCTGATGGAGAGTGACGTTGAGATACTGAGGCGTATCTTTCCTGGCCGCTGTGATCCAAGAGTTCACGAGTTCAGCGATCTTTCTCATTCCGATTAGGTGTGTGTAGAAGGACATGATCATGAGCTACTAGAAGCTCATGAGGCTGGCCCTAACATGGTAATTGAGAAGGGTAAGGTATTCAAGGACCTCCCTGCATTGAAGAGGTGGTTGTAGGCGTTTGCAGTGATACGAAAGAGACCTTACAAGGTCTTGCATTCATATGTGGAGCGCCATTACACAGTTGTATGTGACAAGGAACACTGCCCATGGAGGGTTTGTGCAAGGAAGCAAAAGGTTATCGAAAAGTGGAAGATCACAAAAGTTGTCGGGCCACACAATTGTGCTGACCATGTGCTCACACTGAAGCATCGGCAGTTGACATCTACCCTCATTGCCAAGCGGTTGATGGGAATATTGTAGGGAGAACCCAACATGAAGGTTAGGAGAATTATCAGGACCGTTGAGGCGTTGTATGGAGGTTGTGTGATAACTTATGGTAAAGCTTGGAGGGCTAAACAACGAGCGTGGAAGATGATATATGGGGACTGGGAGGATGGGTATGAATAGCTTCTAGTACTTTTTAATGCAATCAAAGCGATGAATCCAGACATGCATTATGAGTACATCCCAAAACCAAATGTATGGAAGGATGGGAGACAGATATTCTTTCATGCTTTTTGGTGCTTACCTTAGTGTGTCGAGGCCTTTAGGCACTGTCGTCCCATCTTCTCCATTGATGATACATTCTTGATTGGCAAATACCAGGGCACACTTATTATAGCCATATCATGTGACACGAACAGCAAGTTGGTTCCTTTGGCATTTGCTTTGGTTGAGAAGGAGAACAATGATAGTCGGGGATGGTTCTTGAGGCTAGTCCGGATACATGTGGTTGGGCTTGGTAGGGAGGTTGGCGTCATATCTAATAGGCACCAGTG